CGGGGAGACTCCAGTGGAGGCATTGGTGGCGTTGTTCGTGGCAAATTCGGCGGCGGAAAGTAAGAGGTCCCAGTTAGACTGCCGTTGGTCGACAAAGTTACGGAGCATGGTGATAAGGGTGCGGTTGGCACGCTCGGTCTGGCCATCGGTCTGAGGGTGGAAGGCAGTCGACATGGCAAGGTGGACGTCCATCAGACGGCTCAATTCTTTCCAAAAGCGGCTCGTGAACTTGGTATCGCGGTCGGAGACAATGGTGGTTGGCATGCCGTGCAAGCGGAAAACATGGTCGAAAAAAATGCGTGCAACTTGCGAGGCGGAGTCGGTGGTGTGGCAGGGGGCAAAGTGCACTTGCTTTGTGAGTTTGTCAACAAAGACCGTAATGGAGTCAAAGCCGCGTGGGGTCTTGGGTAGGGGGCCGACAAAGTCCATTGTCACCGTTTGCCAGGGTCGATCGGGAATGGGTAGGGGCTGGAGGAGGCCAGCAGGTGGTTGGTTGCTGGGCTTAGTCCTTTGGCACGACTCACAGGTCTGCACATACAGCCGGGTGTCCTTCGCCATAGATGGCCAGAAGAACCGCGAGTGGAGATGACCGTACGTCTTCTCGAAACCGAAGTGACCAGCTATAGCGGAGTCGTGTGCATCGTGAAGAAGAGAAAGCCGAAGGTCAGAGTTCGAGGGGATACAAACAAGTAAAAGATCATTACGTTGAATGCAAAGAACACCATCAACAAGAGAGTAATTAGACGGTGGACTTCCCTGGAGGCAGCTTTCATAGATCGGTTTGAGGCGGTGATCCTCTTTGTAACCATCCATCAGGCGCTGCCGGAGCCTGGGGTCGAGCTGTACTGAGAGTGTGTTAATCTCTCTATGGTCCGGTCGGCGAGACAGGGCATCTGGGACAATGTTGTCGGCTCCTTTCTTGTACTTGAAGGTGAAGTTGTATTCCTGCAACAGTTCCATCCAGCGGGCCTGACGGCGGGTGAGTTTGGGTTGAGTGGGGAAGTGTTGGAGGGTGGCATGGTCGGTGTATACGATGAAGTGGGATCCGTCCAGATAGTAGCGCCATGTCTTCAATGCATGTACAACAGCCAACAGTTCCTGTTCGTGTGTTGGGTAGTTGCGTTCGGCAGAGTTCAGCTTGCGGGAGGTGAAGGCGACGGGGCGCGACTCGCCATGCTCATCGGTCTGAAAGAGAACGGCACCGAGAGCAAAGCCGGAGGCATCGGTTTCGACGGTTGTTAGAAGGTCGGGGTCGAAGATACGTAGAACAGGTGCTTTACTGATGGCCTCCTTCAGAGTCGTAAACGCTACTTCCTGCTCCTGAGACCAAGAGAAAGGAACGCCTTCACCTAAGAGAGCGGTCAACGGTAGGGCGATCGAGGCAAAGTTAGCGATGTACTGATGATAGAACTGTGCAAGACCAACAAACTGCTGAACATCTTTCTGCTTCTGGGGACGGGGCCATTCACGGATGGCACGAACGAGACCGCCGCTCGTATGGATACCGTCCTTGGAGATGACGTGGCCGAGGAACTCGGTCTCTTTCTGCATAAAGGAGCACTTGCTCAACTTGGCGTAGAGACCGTACTTGCGGAGGAGCGTGAGGACGGATCGGAGATGTTGTAGATGTTCGGCCTCGGTGCGCGAGTAGATAAGAATGTCGTCGAGGTAAACAACAACCCACTTGTCGAGAACAGGGTCTAATACTCGTAGCATCATATTGGAGAAGGACGCCGGTGCATTCGTTAACCCGAAAGGGACCACATTAAATTCGAAATGGCCGTAGCGGCAACGGAAGGCTGTCTTGTGTGTGTCCTCTTCTGCTATACGTTGCTGATGGTAACCGGAGAGGAGGTCAAGTTTGGTAAAGTAGCGTGCCCCGCGGAAACGGTCGATAAGTTCATCAATGCGGGGAAGGGGGTGTCTGTTCTTTTTTGTAATCCGGTTTAACCCTCTGTAATCAACACACATACGCAAGGAACCATCCTTCTTTTTCACAAACAATACAGGGGCACCATAAGGGGAGGTAGAGGGTTTGATAAAGCCTTTGCCAAGTAGGTCGTCGAGTTGCTTCCTTAGTTCATCCAATTCAGCAATCGAGAGACGTATAACAGGGCGAAAGGGGGGATCAGCGCTCGGATCAGTTTCGATCTTCATTGCATCGCCTCTGTCAGGGGGAAGGCCAGAGGGGAGGGAGGAAGGGAAAACGTCGGGGAACTCGTTGTGGACGATGTTGTGAATGTCGGGTGAGAGTGGAGGGGAGGTCGGTTTGTTGTCATTACTGTTGTTGTCGTTGGTCTTTTTAGCGATGTTGACGAGGGCGAGGTAGACAGCGTTTCCAGGTTGGGTAGCAAGGGAGTGAAAGTGAAGGTGAGAGAGGAGTTTCCCTTGTGTGCGAGCGGAGATGGAGTTGGCGTTGGCACCACGACAGCGCCAGAGAACAGTGTGTCCATTGTGGGTGAAGTGAAGGTCGTTGTTTCGCCAGTTGATGAAAGGGTTGATGGTCGTTAGCCAGGGTTTTCCAAGGATGAGGTCGTAGTTGGAGAGGGGGTAAATGAGTGCTTCCAGTTTGTCGGAGTAGTGGTCGCGGTCGATGGTAAAGGTGGAGGTGGATGATGAAATGGAAGAGGAACCGTTTGGAAGGATGATGGGGATGGAGGGGCCAGGAGTGCGAGTGAGGGAGTGTTGTTTGCAAAAAGAAGAACTGATGACGTTCCCTTCCGCACCGCAATCGATTAAAATACGCGCAGGGGCACCAGCCACATTACCAATAAACGACAAGAGTGTACGGGAGGCTTTCTCAGCCGTGAAAGCGTGCAGACGGACGGATTTGTGTCGCAAGCGTTTGGTCCTGCGCTTGGACATGGGTTGGTCTAAAGCAGCAGGAGAGGAGAGTGGGTCCAGGTCCACTTCTTCTGATGGGCTAAGACCAACAGGCGAGGTATCAGATACGTCGTCGGTGAGTTGTAACTCATCGTCAAAGGGTACCGTGGTGGAGTGAGTGTTGGGGGCAGTGGTGGTCGAGTCGATGGCAATTGAGGAGGGAGTACGAGGCGAGGCAGGGATGGATGAGGGAAAAAGGGAGAGTGGAGGAGGAGAGAAGGAGAGTTTGTGTAGGCTACGAGGTGCGGATGTGGTAGTGCGAATAATGGATACAGAGGGGGGAGTGTTTTTGATAGCAGAATTTTTATTCTTGGAACTGTAACTTAACTCTGGTAAGGAAACACTCCCTTTGTCCAGAGGAGAAAGGGAGGGAACGTCGACGATCAAGTCCTGGACTAAGCCTGATCGTCGGAGGCTTTTCCCGACTCGGGGGAATCACCCACGGCTACTTGATAAACCCATCGTCCTTGGCGGTTGTTGTTGTTGCCACGGTTGGTATTGTTGTTGTCGCCGTAGATGGGGCACTCCTTTGCATAATGTCCAGGTTGGCGACAGCGACGGCAAGCATTGTTGTTTTTACACCATTCGCGTTCCTGAGGGGTCAGGGAAGGGGGATTACCGTTGTTGTTGTTTCGGGGGCCGTTGTTGTTATTGTTGTTGCGGTTGTAGTTATTGTTATGACCCATGTTTCTCTCTAGGCGATTAAATCGTTGGGTGATATTGTTGAGGGCGATCTGGATGTTGTCGATTTCCATGGGGGTGGCTTGAGAGAGAGCGGAGGAAGAGGTGAAGGAAGAAATGATGGGGGCGGAGGCGATGGCGAGCGAGTTGGTCTTGGGGCCGGTGTCGGGTTTGAAGGAGTAAATGCGGTCCATCTCTTGGGCGTATTGAAAGATCTGAATGAGGGTGATATTGGGGTTTTGAATAATGTGTCCTTCGATCATCTGTTGAAGAACCAAGGGGCAGTTGTCGATAAAGGATGTTTGGGCGAACTCGTTGACCGTGGTCTTGGCAGCGTCGGTGGAGGCATAACCAAGAAGGGCGCCCAAAAGTTCCTTGAATGTAGATAAGTAGGTCGAAAAGTTGGTGGTCATGCGAAGATTGGTGAGGTGTCGTCGACAGGAGCCCGCAAAGTTGTTGGGAATGTACTCTAGCTTAAAAGCAGGAGTAAACTCGGTCTCGAAGTTGCAAGTATCAGGGAGCCCACATCCATCAAACCATCGGGCAGGGCCAGGCGTGCCCAAGTACGAGAGAGCGTGGGGTGTTCGTTCAGTCTCACTTATCTTAGCAAGGTTGAAGTAGCGGTTAACCGCAACGAGCCAGGCCAAGGCAGAGAAACCGTCGCGGGCGCCTGTAAAGACAGGAGGGGGGTTAAGGCGGGCAGGGGTAACCATGACTGGTAGTGCAGAGAGAAGTGCGGAGAGGTCAAAAATGTCCAGAGTGTAAGAGGGTACGAAGGAAAATAGGGGCAGGGAATGAAATTCAGGGCTGGTGTGCAGAGAGAGCTGGGACGAGGGAAAATTAAAGTAAAACGCGGGCAGTGAAAACGAGGAGGGAAAAATCAAGAGGTCAGTGGAACGAGGGAACCTTTGCTACCATGCAACAGGCGAAGACTGGGACAGAGAAGTATAGAACGGGGACGAGAGTTGAAGCAGTGATGATTGATGTTATTACTATGGTACAACTAAATATATATACAAAGTCGCCAACTAGGTTTCTAGGTGTAGTGTCATAGTGAGTCAGAGATGATAGAGAGTGACAAGGAATGACTAACTAGAGAGCAATGATAAACCTAATATGTTGCAAACCCCCTCTTTGATAATATGAATACAAGGTCCTTTTACACATCACTTGGACGAGAGCAGTATTGACAAGAGTTTCGCTGGCACGCTGCAGTGTATCGTTTTGTGTGATTCTTTTAGGACACTATTGTCACTTCCCCTCCCCCCAACCTACAACCCCTTCCCCCCCCCCTCCGTACCAATTGAGGACCTAACAGCGGTCCTACAACTCTGGCCGTCGACCCTCTCCCCTGAGTAACAGTATTTAAACCCTAGACTTAGTAATAAACGATCCCCGATCTTCTTTCTCACTTACTCCAAGGTACGCTATATTTTTCAGATCTCGTCAATCTTTCCACCCTTCTTAACCCCCAACTCCTCATTCTCCTCTCTGGTCACAACACTAGAGAATGCCGTCCTCCCCATGGACCTCTCAGCACTCTCTAGGTCATCCAGCATGACATTCCACTCGTTCATCGCGGTCTTGGCCTCAGCGATCTGACGTGTTAGTTCCGCCAACTTTGGTCGCTCCTGGTCGCCCTCCTCTTGGCTCAACCCTTGGATGCGCGCGGCTAACTGCATCTTCTGTCTCGTCAACGTCGCCAGTTGCATCGAATACTCCTTCATCTTTCCTCTGGCTGCATGGGCATCCATAAAGTCAGAGCCAACAGTCTCCTGCATGTCAACATCAACGTCCATGCCTGCTCCCTCATCTCGTCCCGACGTCAAGGTAAGTGCATCTAACGCACCAACAACCTTATTGCCAACGTCCTCGTTCTTCTTTGCCGTATTCGCTGCCATTCTCTATGACCCAATTAAAGGAAAAGAAAACAAACAGACAAGCAGAATAAACAGAAAACGAAATGAGCTTTTGAAAACTGATGATCAACCAGACTGCACCCCAGAAAAAATAATACTGTTACTACTAACGTCAACTTCCAGTACTTTTTTGCTCAGTGATCCACTTGATTCAAAATAAAAATAAAAAACAACACCCAGAAAAAACTAAAAGTTTTCTGATGCAAATGAATTCGGATGAGGGCACACCTAAATGCCAACAAAGACGAATCCCGCGTTTATTTGAACAAGAATGTCCTTGATCAAAACTAACGGTGAGTTTTCTAATGAATCTCTGCTACCGTGTTATATGAAGACCTCAAATGACCACACAGATGTATGATCGCACTTGAAAGCTCCAACACAAAAAGGTAGAATAGTAACCAAATAATAACAACGAAAGTAACCGCCTGTTACACTTCGTATTAATGATCAGTCTCTGCTGTAACCTTGTCACTAGTGACCAGATACACGCACGAAATGACCACAAATAAAAGAAAAGGATCCTGTCCTTGTTGGATTATCCTGAAAATAGAGAAAAATCCTGACAGTAAAGGTCCTGTTCTGTAATGATCCGTAAATGCTCCCGTTACGTCCTCAATCGCTCCTGTAGATTGATGGAGTGTTCCTCGTAATGGGTTGAATGAATAAATAAATGAGTGGATGGATCCTGTCAATCGTTCGACGGATTCTGATCCCGATCCGTGTTGTATTTATCAAAAAAAATGAAAATTTTTACGCTAGTCACGCACAATCGAATTGATAAGACAAGAGAGGGATCTTTGTTAACAGCCCAGACACCTCCATTTATGTCGGTGTCTGGTCATATGACTAAATTACTGTCTCTAGCCTAATTACATTAGCTGACACCCCCGAGACAGGCAAATATGCGACAGAGCCCATAGCCTAGCACACATAAATACCCTGGCTCCCCTGTACAATAAACACCATCCGTTTCTGCCTTCTGCTCTTGTCTATCACCCTTCTTCTGTTGCTATTACACAGCCACAGCCAAATACGATCCAACTTCCGCCGCGGGTTTCTCACGCCTTTGTCCGGAACGCTGAGCAGAATGCAATCAACGCTGGTGATTCTTGGCACAGCACTCTCACTGCAGGATGCCGATCATGTATGCTCGGCCATCGCCAAACCCATCAATTTCACAAGAATAACGGAATTCCCCCTATTCAATGAGACCGACGTGGACAAACTTCTCTCGGATCTGGTCGACATGTCGGGCTGTGAAATCCCACCTGCCAAACGCTACAAGCTAACAGGACGAGCTCGATTTTCCGTTGACGTCGTCAAACGCCTTGCCTCGCGCTGCTCTTCTAAGGCCTCGAAACAAGCGATTCTAGCTAGTGCTGTCGACCTGTCGATTGAGCAGACATTAACTCAACTCCGGGCCGGGGTTTGCGAAATCCTCGAGAGCGACAATACAGGCGAGGCAGCTCGACTTCTTTGCCGAATGGTCTTGGCCTATCGTCTCTCAGGTGCCAAAATTTCGTTCTCGAGCCAACAGCAGTCCGACTTTGTGGACAAGGCCTTGTGCAGACTAACACCACATCCTGATGGTATTCATTTGATCATGGACGAGCCAATGGTACTCGAGGCGGTGCAGGAAGAGTTAAAGGCTTCATGCAAGGATCCGTCGTTCGTTGAGTACCTGGATCAACTCTACCAAGTTGTCACCAACTTCGGCGTGGCTTCAACGTCAAAGGAGAATGCACTGGAACCCCTTGTCCGTCGATCACTTCAACGCTTCAACGGCTACCGTCTTGTTGATCTTCCGTTCCTTCGAGGTGTCGCATTGCCCACCTGGTGTATCACTCTCCGGTTACAAATTGACAGTATTGACACAGCCAAAGGGTTCGGATACACCATCGGTGGAGTTCGCGCAGACCTCGCCTTCCTCACCAAATGCCCTCCAAACAAGATGCTTATTGCCTGCTCAGGCACACGTCCGGATGCAGCCTGGTTTTTCTCTAACAGAAAGTATGCCGGCTCTCTTGCGATCAAGTTTTTCAGCAGACGCTTTTCAGCCGAGATGCAGCAGTCAAATGAAACCTCCAGTGATATTCGAGCTTGTTTCTTGCAAGCGAATGGCACCTTGAACGAATCCTTGGCAAATATTCGAAGCGACTATGAGGCTTCGGGTACTCCGTCCAACCTCAGGGGTATCCTCCGCATCCATACCGAGTTCCATAACGTCAAGAGGGGTATGCCAACTTCCCACATCAAGAAAGACTCCGTGACTCGCGCCGAGGATGTGATGGTGTATATCACCCTTTTGAACATGGACGACTTTTTCTTTGAGGGCATCCCAGAGCACAAGGACGATATGGTCCAATTGAAAAAGATTATCAGATATGTTTGCCAGGAATAAACGCTTTACGAATTGCAATCATGTTTCACTTATTTTTCATCCTTACGTTATGATGCTACTTAACCACCTTTATGGCACTTTTTGACCGCGGCAGCTTGTTGTGTGGACTAAAAGAAAGACTGAATGAGGTCGCTGTATGTAACAGTTGAACGTCTATCTTCCCCGTGTTTAAAAAAATAATCGTGCACAAACTACGTGTAATGCTTTTCCTCATACGAATGCGGTTGTTTTTTTTAAAACAACAATAATAAACAAGCCAAGTATGAAGGGTCGTTTTTGCATCTCTGTGGTGGAGCCTAGAAGAAAGATCTGTAAAGGAATGTACATTCGCGGCAGCTCCGATTTTTTATCACGCTAACAGAAATGTAGGGGAAGTTTACATTAGCTGGGTCTAGATAATAGTTATGCGACATTCCGCTTCACCCTCTCTAAGCCAAATTTTTAATTTAACCAGGGAAAACAGGTTTGACGCACAAAGCCCGTCCAGACTTTGAAAAGTCGATTCTAATCGCATATCTTCGCGATCACAACTGTTTACCATTTTTTCCAGTTGCATACAAGCCACAGACAGTTCTGCAAATTTTCGTATTTCTGCAATTTCGTACGATTTTGTACATCCTTCTGCTTATTAGCATACAAGCCACACTTTCATCCATCGTTCACCATTTTACCGCATCTCCACCTGCACAACCAACACATGTCTTCCATTCCACAACGCAACCCCCTTCCCATTGAGGACGGTCACCATCCTCTAGAACTCGACACCGGCATACTGGAGGATGGCGATTCGACAGACGACGAGCAGTTTGCGCTCCGTTCTGCCATACAGAACTCGCTGCAGGATGCCAACATTCAGTCCGCATGTCTTCAGCATGCGGGCACATGCGACTGCGCCCCAGGACCTTCGTCCGCTGCTCAAGCCCTTGCGCAGGCGAAGCGCACCAAGTCTAAGGCAACAGACGAGACGGATAATATTCTTCTGGAGGCGATAGACGACTTTGACCCTTTGAACAAGTCCCGAAAGGACGTTGCGGTCTGCTGGGAAAAGGTAGCAGATTCCTGTCGCACTCGAGGCTCGATTGTTTTGAGGAAGACGGAGAAGGCCACCCATTTTGATGATGCCACCGGCAAGTCTGTGAGGCAGAGATGGATGCAGTTGAGGAAGGATTTAGATCAGGCTAAAGCAGCGAGGACCAGACGTCCAACAGGCACGGTTCAGGCTGATTTGTCGGAAAAGTTGCGGACAGTGGAGGCCCTCGTGGACAGAGAGGAAGGACAGAAGACCCATGCCCAGCACAAAAAGCAGCAGGAGATGGAGAAGCGTCGTCAAAACTATATGACCGGGAGGATGATGGCAAAGCAGTCAATGAGCACAAACCGGGGTCTCCACGGCACCTCTGCCACCTCCGACGCAACCGACTCGGACATCACGTCGGATAGTAGTCAGGAACGTGTGCGATCTCCCACCTCGTCGATTCCCTTCTCCGGCCGCAGCATCAATACCCTGTTCAGTAACTTTGACTTGACCAGCACTATCCAGGATAGGATGGCAGAGTTCAACAACATGGTCGTGGAGATGAGGGAGCAAGAACGAGTAAGGCACGAGGCGTCGCAGGCGGAGCTTCGTCACATTAACAGCAGCATTGCAAAATCTCTGGAGTCAGCTCAAGAGGATCGAAAAATCTTGCAGGGCACACTTGACAGACTAATGAACACCCAGGAATCGATGGCGCAACTGCTGTTGAAGATGAACGAAAAATAAATGTTTATTCGATGTCAACGCCCAGGTTGAAAAGGTTTGGGTTGAGATATTCTTCAAGCGTTGGCGGGCAGATTAAAGGAAGGTCGTCATAGTACGGCATATATTGGGAGGAAACGTTGTTAAAGCCACGTATACAGGTGCGGCAGTTGGCGAAAAGAACACTCAAACGGAAGAAGTGTCCCGCACGACCGTCCATGATCCTCATCGCTTGCGACCATTTGCTTTGTTTAAAAAATTGGTTGGTGTATCCGATGGCCTGCTCGACGACGATGCGACCTGTTCCCATCACTTGGTTCTCGAGGACATGCCGAGCAGCCTGGCTCTGGCCTTGGTCGCGAGGCCTTGCGATGTGAGTATCGCTAGCGTATGCACTATCGCCGTAAAGCTTGAGGGCATGTCCGTCCGGGTGATGAGCATACTGAGCGAGGATGCCAGGAAGAGCAGAGTCCTGCAAAATGACTGAGTCATTGCATGTTCCTGCAGCCGGCTCGCTGACATGGGCTACGATGCCGTCTGGCAGCATGACCAAATTGTACCGAAGATAATGCTTCTGTCCTTTGCTGCCGAACATGCACTGCTCATGATATGTAGGCTTACAGATCTCGATCGATGTTCCGTCAAGGAAGCCAAAAACGTCATCTCTTGCATGAGCGCCGATCCTAGCGGCTATTGCCTGCGTGAACATGGCTAACCTCTCGGGTGTCAGTCGTTCTGGGTCCCAGTCGTACAGGCGGTTCCAAGAAGCATGGAACCATTCGATCATCGCCTTGAGGATTCTCGACACCGCAGCTTGGTCTCGATGGAAAAACCCAACAACATCGGTAAGTCTCTTGGGGTACGCCAGTCGACAAAGCAGCATGCAAAGCCCCTCCATGCCGGTGAACATGTCGTTATTAGTGGTCCACAACAGATCTGGGATCATCAGATGCCGTTTGAGCAGCAAAAGCTGGTCTTTGTCGAACCGCATATGAGAGATACATGCTTCGTCGGACCAGGTGTCGATGTCAAAGGTCGGCGCGTCTGTGCGGCGAGGCCGGCTCCTGAGATGATGACGTAGGAGCACGGCTTCCTCGTGCTCAGCGATATCGTTGTAGATGCCTAACATCAAGCGGTGATGTAGGAGCATAAGTATGAAGGCACCCATAAGAAGGGAGATAAGAAGAAAAAGGGAGAGGGAGAACATGCTCGCTCACGTTTGTTTATTTACATGTCACAAGGGAGATTTGTTTTGAGTCTCCAATCGCATACAAGCCGCTACAAGCCACAAGGATGTACGATTAAAAGTTATGCGACTGGAGGGACTTTTCAAAGCCTCGCGTGTGATGTGGATTGCACTGGAAATTCTCACCCCTTTCAGTTCTCGTCATTTATTTTTTCACACAAAACCAAACACACCGTTCCTTTTTCCTTTGTGCTCTCTTCTCTTCAAATCTCTCTCCTCCATTCCTTCACGACCCCACCCCATTCTCTCTAACTTTCTCAGAATGCCATCTTCTTCATCTTCCAAAGCCTCATCCTCCCATGCCACGTCCTCCAAGGCTGCAATCACCCGCCATGCCGTGGATGCTTCCATGCTCATGGAGGCATTGCATGCAGCGGCCAAGTCCACTGAAGCCCATCTTTACAGCAAGGCCACGTGAAACGAGCTCTGGAGTACGCCGCCGCTACTGCAGATCCTGAATACAAGATAGCATTCACCACAATATCCGCTCATACCCCCACTGTGTTGCTTGCATTTATCGCGTCCAAGTGTGAGCAGTCCGGCTATACATTCAAGACAACAGAAGGCATCAGGAGTGCACTGAAGCAATACTTCGAGACCACCTTTAATTGTCAAGGCGACACCTGGTATTGTGATGATCTCAACAATTGGACCGGCAACCCTGTCTTTGACCCAACATTTGTCAAGTACTATAAATCTCTCAAGAATCGCGATGGAAGATCAGGAGTCAGCAAACAAAGTCTGGCAACATCCTACAGAGATATGACCAGGCTTATGGGGCATCTACAGGACAGTACGACTATTGAGATGGAGACCCAGGGGATGTGTTTGCTATTCCAGGCTTTTGCGGCCACCGGGTTCACTCTATGGACAAGGCAATGATCGTAACAGTGTTATTAGTGACGATGCTATTGTTTCTAAACTGACCATGTCCATATTTAATATTTACCGTCCCTTACTAGGGATGAAGAACTGCTCCGACTCCAAAGGAGAGACCTTGAGCTAGGCCTCAACACCGACGCAGGGACACCATACTTAACCATCACTCTAACTTTCCGCAAAACGAATCAAGCAGACGCTCTAAAAGGTACAACTTTGTTTTGAACTTGGCGTTGGATAGACCGTAGGTCGTGCTCAAACAGTGTACGTTTACTCTTCACCCTCAACCACATAGCTAACATCTACGAGATCCATCCTCAGCCCGAGGATCCAGATATCTGCTGTTTCACGAAGCTCAGCACTTGGATTCGATGGATGGAGCGCAGTGGACAAAAATTGCGACCCGACGATTTTGTTTTCCCAGCGTTGGATGTGAGAGGGCGTGTTAAAGTCAAGGAGTCATTATCGCACACACGCGTGCAGGCGTTGTTGGATCTATTCACAAGGACTTCAGGTGCGATACATTCACATTATAATACAACGAGTGCCAGTGTTAATTGCGTATTTTTCTTGCTAACCCTGAGGTTGTTGTTTGCTGCACTTAGGACTTCTGGATGGGCGGAATGGTCGGTTCACTACACACTGCTTTCGCCGAGGCGGGGCACAATACCGTTTCATGTTTGCTAAGGAGAAATGGTCATTGAAAGCCGTGAAGTGGTGGGGAGGGTGGTCTGAAGGCGAGGAGACGGGCACAATCATGCGATATCTGCTAGACGAGTACAACCGATACGAGCTGGGCTTTAGTGATATGCTTTCACCGGTACGACAAGACAGTCGACATGCCGTTTTCATGGGAGAAACCGATACCCCAGGAATGGCCCCAGCCACTCAACAAGGTCTTGCAGCGTCCCTAGAAACGCTGCGGGCAACAGTGGACAAGGAGACGGCTCATCAGTTCTCTATTCTAAAGCAGGAGATGCAATACCGACATGAGACGATGGAGCGACGCCACCAAGAGTCGACCAAGACACTTCTGGACACTATCCGACGATTAACAGTGACAGAACCTCGTCCATCAGCAGTAGTACAGCATCCAATAGATCCAGTCACTCAGGAACAGACACCCCAGTTACCTCAACGCATTGGTAAAGTAATTCAACAAGAGCAACAGCAACAGCCATGCGTCATCCCGCCGGCTGCTCCACGTATACCTACCATCTCAAAGTGGCAAGATGCTGTAGAACAGTGGGAGAACGGCGACCCAAGCAAAGGACTGCTGATCCCACTTCGTTCCTGGACAAAGGCAATGCGCAAGACAGATTCCGCCAAGTATTCTCAGAGGAAATCCATCGCAATGGAGTTTATCTACTTGGGAAGAAACGAGGCCAATGTGAAGGATGTCCATGGCAAGGCAGCTGATACGGTCAGACAGCTTCTCAAGTCTATCCATCAGAAAAATCTTGAGCGGGAACATACAGATGCGGTTGGAACCTCGTCATCAGGGCTTCAGGACCATGGGAGAGACGACGAGCATGAAGACGAGGATGAGGAGGTGGAGCCAGAACCGCTGGTGAGACGCAGGCTGAACCAGCAGCCGAGGCATGTGATCCAGAGCGTGGAAGGGCATTGCGCAGAGCAGGTAGAGGGACAAGGACAAAGTGAGAATGGTGGAAATGGTGATGAGTCTCCAGAACCGCTAGGAGCCAAACGAGTGAACCAACAGCCTTTAAAGCCCAGGATTGCAATCCCTCGGGTTACAAGGAGCAAAAGTGTTGCTCTTGCTACGGCCCCTGCTTCTACTACTACTACGCCTATTTCCCTTCCTACTGTCAAGCGGCTACGGAGAGGAAGTACAATTGTAGGTATAACGTCCTCATCCTGTGTAGATAATAGAAAGCGTCAGCGATAATTAAATGGCTTTATTACAGAAAAAAAAAAAAAAAGGTGTGTGAGTGGCTGTGAAAAATCAAGCGAATCGTCCCATCTAAACAGCCAGAGATATGGCCCACCTATGTGTGTTTATTCACTCGTTGAGTGCGCCTTACACTAATGTAAAAGACCCCTTTCATCGAATCTTACACTTTCATTCATACACCCTTGTAAACATTTAATTTACAGAGTATTGTTTGAGGGATCCATAGCTTTATATATTTTTTAGTTTAGTTTCGTCGGTTCAAGCACCGTAGACAATAAAAGAAAGATATACACAGATAGAGTCCCTGGCAAGGAAGAATAATGAAACAGAGATATCTACCTGAAATCGCTCAAACATGTAAAAGGCAAAAGCGCCAACGCTGCACCGACGAACATCGGCATGTCGCACAGCCTTGCCAAGTTGAACATTTCCGGTTGTGTTTGACTTTCCTATTCTCATAGAAAAGACTAACACCACCACCTCCTGAGTTCCTCCGGGCTGCTTTACAAAGATGTCCATCGAGCAGTCGGAGATACCCAGGAAACGCACATTCTCGTTCCTCAACAGCATACTATGGAGGCCTTTAAAGTCCAAATTATCATATGGTGTTTGTTACATCTCTGCAGATCTTGACGATATCCACCGCGTCCATTAGAGGAGAATGTATATATGATACCAAGCATATAAGACAACCATTGTAACATTTTTTGTTTAACTATCCTACTAAACACCAACCTATTCTCCAAACAACAAAGTCTTCTTATTTTTCGCACACCAAACTCTTGAATATGTCCATCTACTATTAACCTGTAACCCTCACTGCAAGATTCGACAGAGTAGTTCTTGTATGTGATCATCTAAAGCACTTGTATTCTCAACTGTATCTTTGTCGTGAAATACAGGGGAGAGATTACATTTTAAAAATTCTTGTGCTGTCTATTGCTATTTTATTCTGTGTTCTGTTGCCCACTATGAAGAGATATGCCAGTTATGGAAGTCAACACTCCGTTCCTTGGGCTTTGGATATTTTTTATATGCCTTTTTATATCCTCTGCACATGAAGGGGCCGCTATGTCGTACCGCCAGTACAAAGTGCTCACGAATCATAATACTGCGACTGTTGACAGGTTGGCGCCAAGCATAGAGCAAGCATCGAATATGCTCTGCAACAGTGTAGTAGTTCGTGGCGTTGCTGTTTGTTGAAGCATCGCGGCCCGAACAGATCTGTTCGCCGTTTTCATCCCTCTCAACATGCTCGGTGCGAAGGATACCTCTCACAAGACTTCTGGCATACCCCTTCATAGAGTCCTCGATAAGTTTGTAGGTTGCCAGTGGTTGTGAGGTGTTGGGATCTGTTGACCGTGCTTGTTGTAGTTTTTGAAGGGTATTCAGGGCTGCATAGCCATGCACGATTTTGCTGTAAAGAGTAAGGAGTGTATATTGTGCACTTGCCGTCTGATTGGACAGACACTCTTCCGGCAGCCTCCTCCGCGTTCACATCTATATCATTAAAATGATTCAAAAAGTAGGAGAGGCTGAGAAGATGTTTTGGTGTTTCCGTCATCTGTGGACCCCACGACAATAGTATTACCATCGGGAGGCGAGAGAAGATTCATCACACTGTGAGGTTACACCACTACTTACACAAGATAAAGTCTATGGGGGTCAAGTCGACATACCCATGAAGATGACTCTTATGGGACGGAAATGTTGGTTGTTTGGCAATCGGTAACGGGAGATATGGTGTATCATGAGAGGACATACAACAGGTTCGTCCTTGATACCCTCAATCCCTCAACGGGAATCTTGTGTTACAAACTCCTGGGTCACATAAGGAGCAATAATAAGGAAAGGTGAACCGAGGCCATTTAAAACCATTTTTCACCCTCTACCTTTCACTCTATGCAGTTCTTTGCGGAAACTTTTTCGCCAGTTTGAATTTCATTTAAGACTGATCCCTCCTAATAAACAAGAGCAAAAAAACTTCTCGGAGCAATGGGGCTTCATTAAAAGTAAGGATGGTGACATTCAACGGAGCTGAAGAGGCGTAGCAAATTTAAAACAAGAGAGCGGCAAAGAGAAGCGTTGTGTCCCTTGGACGTTTAGGTACAATGTGAGTAAATATACAAAAAAAAACCTCCTTCCCCAGCGTTTTATTTTTGCACTCTTTAAACATGTAAAAGCGTTTGTTCGCTTGCTGGTTCGAGTTCGAACGCACCTCCTTCCAACATCTCGTATTTGGTCTCCTCCCCATAGTCCTTAAAGGGTGAGAGTGTCGTCTCATTGATCCTCCCAGAGGCCACGTCCATGACATGCAGATCGATAGAACTGCCACAATAGTAAGCGCGAAGTCTCACACGGATCTCTGGAACGCCCTTGGGAGCCGGCGCAATGCCTGTGAGCTCGATTCCACCTAGGAATATATTCTGACTCGTCCGTGTTCCGTCTCCACTAAAGACCCGGACGACCACCCGGTCCTGATTATCCATCGCGGTGGAAAACGTGTACATCTTGTTGGTATTTACGTCGGCGTACTGAGCCGCAAATTTGAACATCACTCCGCCGGCTGTCTCGATGCCAAGGGCTCCTGGACTTTCCATAAAGCAACACACGCCGCCACCAGACCGCCTTTCGTCCAGGTACCAATGACTAAGTTTTGCCGCACCAAACACGACGGTGGTTTCAGGGTGATTCGATCCATGGTATCTCTTATGGCGGCCAAAATACTCTCGGATGGTCGACTGAAGGAAGGGGATATTGGTAGATCCACCGGAGAACACGATGTCTTGGATGTCATTCTTGGTATACTCGTCAGAGTCCTTGATAGCCTGATCGATCGCCGTGATGGTCTTGGTAAAGAGATCCATATTGAGATCCTCGAATTGAGACCGAGTCAACTTTTCGGAGAGACTTTGAACCCCAGGGTGGAGGGACTCGATTTCGATCCGAACACAGTCGTGGACAGAGAGCATTCGCTTGGCCTTTTCGACTTCGTTTCCCAGTCGAAGGAGAAACTTGTCGTCACTGGAGAGGTCATGACCGGTCTTGTTCTTGTGGGCCAGGAGTAAATGGTCGACGACGCGTTGATTGAAATCGTTTCCGCCCAGGTGTTGATCATAGACGGAAGACATGGCGTAACTGGAATCGTCGTCAATTTCATGGACTGAGACCTCGAATGTCGAGCCACCGAGACGATAGACAAGAACGTTTCGACTGTACTCCATGCCTTGATCAAAGAAACCGATGGCGGCAGAGGCTTTCCTGTACACGTGGGAAGAGATTTTTTGGCTTGCAGTCCTGCAGCATTTAAGGCTTTCTCCATCACCTCCCTCAACTCAATCACTATCCGTTCAGTGTATCTACCAACATAAACTCTCTCAAGCAAGGTGTAGTTCCCTCTGAACCCATCACCGATGATTTCCTTTGTCGTGGTCCGTAGGCTTTGTCCATCTGGCGAGAGGATACCAACAAAGTTGACACTATGACCGAGGATCAATTCAGCGGATGTTGTTAATTCCTGCAGATACTTGGCTGTGATGTCGATGAGGGTGAATGCCTGGTGTCCGGTAATGTTGGGCCTGATACCGTAATGATGAAGTGAACGCAACGCGATTGGATGGTCAAGGTTGAAAAGTGTGTTGGATGGGTGCACATAACGCACTTTGTCTGTGCCATCCTTAATCAACAGGAATCCTTCGGTTGTCCAGTTGGACTCCAATGGTCCGGCCGTGGAACGTGTTCCTGGACCGATTGATATTATTTTCGGTTTACCGTTATCACCAACGTCGACACTCAAACGAGTGACACTAGATCCAACCTCTGAGAAGAAAATGAACATAAAATGGACGGTTATTCCGAGCATTCTGCAGTGCGGTTCGAAGAGGGAAGGGAAAGGGCGAATTTGTTCTTACCAATTGCAAGCGTCGTACGAACACGTTCTGGTCGAGCAGCAGACACGGTTGCAGAGGACAGGAAGATCACAACGATCAAAGTAATCAGAAGTGAGAACAATCCTTTCTTGTTCGACCTTTTCATTTTTTGAATAGGGTGGGGGGAACAATGACGAATGAACGGAAGGAAAGGAAAAGAATGAAAGGAAGGAAAGGAATAGAAGGAATGAATAGAAGGAATGAACAGAAGAAAGGGATGAAAGGAAAGGATGAAAGGAAAGGATGAAATGAAAAGAATGAAAGGATGAAAGGATGAAAGGATAAAAAGATAAAAAGATAAAAAGATAAAAAGATAAAAAGATAAAAGGATAAAGGGATGAAAGGGTGAAAGAATGAAAGGAAATGGAGGAAATGAAGGAAAGGAATAGGAGGAATGAAATGAAGGAAAGGAATAGAAGGAATGAACAGAAGGAAAGGATGAAAAGGAATGAATGAAGAGTGGTGAGAGTTAAAAGAAAGGCAGACTTTCAACTCTAACGTGTCCACTGGGTCTCATTCTGCGGAAAAGCAAACTCAAACGTGGACGTACGAGATCAATTTCACGTACAAAATCTTTTACGTGTTGCGCCACAAAATGAAGTTCAAGAGGCCTGGCGGCTGCGGGCCAGTGATCAACTATATCAAAGTCTCCTTTTGAATGCAGAAAACCCAAGACAAAGAGAATGGCGACTGGCCCTTGTTGGCGAGCAATATGCATGGTGGTCAGTGAGCCATTTCAGGTTCTGAGGCTTGTCACAGTATCTTTTTTTTATCTTGGCGATGCCTGAACGACCTGCGGCCAGTGGATGTGAAATGTGTCATATTAGTAAAGTTGGGCAAGATTTAATGCTCAGGCAATGGCCCGAAGCTATCATCCGTTGGGTTATGGCTGAACGCCTTGTTACTCAGGGGAGAGGGTCGACGGCCAGAGTTGTAGGACCGCTGTTAAGTCCTCAATTGGTACGGGGGGGGGGGGGAAGGGGGGTTGTAGGTTGGAGGGGGGGGGAAGTGATAATAGCGTCCTAAGAGAATCACACGAAACGATACACTGCAGCGCGCCAGCGAAACTCTTGTCAATACTGCTCTCGTCCAAGAAGTGATGTGTAAAAGGACAAAGAGCAGACAAGAGGGCTCGGCGCACTACTAATACTATCTACTAAAGAATATGACTGCTAACCTAAGGCATTGCCGCCACTGCCTAGCCACCACATCTTTTTGTACCAATGTGAACGAAGCATTGACAACGCGGCCTGGAATTCTCCTGCAGGGAGGAGATCAAAAGGCAACGTCTCCATGAACGTTTGGCTGCCACAAGCACCTCTTCTTCAAGTTCCCAGCCACACCTCAATCATTCCCCCACCTCCTAAAAAAAAAAAAAAAAAATACAGTGCTCCTATCAAGTGATCAACCAAAACGTGATTTCGACGTTTTTTTTGAAATGCTAATTCACCAATGTTCCAACCGGTCCCCAGATTCCTGTCATTCATTCTCCTGATTCATAACCCATTCATCACCACTTGTCATTTTTGCAAGTTCCGACACTGGATCATCGCCGGAATTGAAATGCCTAAATCCGCTTGATCAATTAAATGGATCGCAGGTAATGGCGAATGATTTCCATGTAAATTTTTACATGGGTTTAGCACGGAACAAACAGGTTTTATTAATAACCACTATATCAATGCACTTTCTACAGACAAACTGAAAGCAGTTCCATACTGAGGACATGGTGTGCGATCTAGAATTCTTCGATGTGCAAAGCCTGCCATTCTGAATAGAGTGCAATATCATGATAAAATGTGAAGTCGTGCTAGATCCATGTAACAAAACACCTGTATTTCGCCTCAAAGATACAGTTGAGGGTATAATTGCCTTAGATGATCACATACAAGAACTACTCTTCTGAATCTTGCAGTGAGTGGTACAGTCTAATAGTAGATGGACACCATCAAGAGATAGGTGTGTGTCGCATATTCGCCTAATGGCACCCCAAGATAGATGGGGACAGTAGACTACTTCCGCGCACCCTTTCCACCGCGCACCGGGCTTGAACTAGAGGCAATGGCTGACCTCTTTGGTCGGCCTTGAGTTCCGTCCGTGGTGCTTGAGGTAGAGGCAGGCCGTTTTTGATGTCCTGGCGATCGACTCATTGTGCCAGTGCTCCCGCTGCTGCCGCTTCCGGGGGTTGTGTTCGAGAGTGTTCTGATCCTGCGCCGGCACTAGCCACCCAAGGAAGAGATCCGTCCGGAGCCACAGGCTGGAGGTGCTCTGGACGCTGCTGCTTCTCAAGATATCCTCGCACAAGGTTGGCCATGTTCTCAGCCGCCATAACGTCACGGTGGTGATAAACGTGGCAGGTTGGGCAAAAGAAACGGCGGAGGGTGACCTGGGCGACGAATAGCCGACAGTGAGGACATTTCTTGCTCGTATAATACCCATTGAGTCCAACGACCAGGTAACCCAACGACCGTGCTAATTTGAAGGAAACCGGCAATCATATTTACTATTTTTTGTTTGTTTTACGGATGACAAGTATTTGCAGGTGTCAATCCTTAATGATATTCTTGAATCAATGGTTACCTTCTGCACAAAAAAAGATAGGAAAGTGGAGTCAAGAGAGGAGAGTCCACTCCTAATCGAGAACTTGCCCAGTCCTACTCCAATCAAGACAGGGTTTACTGGATCATATCGACGCCCAATACTTCCTCCAACGATACCAAGGAGGCGGTTGGCAAGCAATTGGTACTCATACTGACGGGCACGCTTCATGTCCCACTTGTGGCGTTTGTACAGCTGGTCTGGGCCCGCATAGAACTCCAATAGTCTCTCCTCGATTCGCCTCAGCTCTGCAGTGTAGTTGATCACACTCGCCCCCTCGCCTTTCAAAGGTGGAAGTTCAGTCTCGATTCCTGCAATCGTTCGGTGTTCCTCACCCACATCCAGCAACGCCTGCTTCTCGCCCTCCAGCCACCGACGGAAGCGGAATGTTGGTTGATACACCGCCTTTTGTTTCACCGCCAGATTGTGAAACACCGTCCTTGTCGACACCAGAGGCGAGGTTGTTGTATGTTGATCTTGAGTTGAAACCGAGATGGGGGTATGTAACAGGATTGTAGATTGCCTCCTGCTTTTGGCTGCCTTGTTCCTTACTTCCTTGTTAATATCTTGTGTGTCTGTCTTACACACTACCCCTGCTTATTATTACCTCACCATCATCCCTCATACCATAGACGTATAAATACCCTGTCCCTCCTGTACAATAAACCTCATTCCTTCTTGCCCTTTCCTCTTGTCCCTACACCCTCTTGTCTCTTTCCCTTGCTATTCTCCTTGCCTCTTGTCTTCCTTCCTTGTCCTCACCCTTGCCTCTTCTCTCTTGCTCTGCTCCTATTACAGGGTAGGAAGAGAGATTGAGGATGTCGACGTTGCTGTCGGTTCCACAGAGGTAGCAACAATCCCTTCTATGCTTGAAGTTACCTGTCGACCTCCTTGCCGTTTCCAGTCCTGAGCGAGTCGTCCGGAATATCCGCATAGGCGCCAATGACACACGCCTTCCGCCGTCCAAAGTCAATGCCTTGATCTCTTAGGGTTGAACTCCTGGCCAATATTTGGCGTCGTCGTCCTTGCTGGTAATGACATTCTGGATCTCGGGCAGGAAGTAATCGATTCCGCCAACAGTCGAAGTCAATCTTGAGGGCAGCCTGTCCTCTGCGATACGGCCAAATCGAACATCCTGAAGCTCTCGAAGCTTGAATGCCAACAACTGTATCCTGAACCCGTCGGTCTTTAGAGAGCCTCGGAGGACATATCCCTTCGTGGCATAGGTAATGGGGTCGAGCCATTCATTCTGGACATCCACCAAGTGGCTCCGGGTCTGATCCAAGGACCATAGCTTGACCGCAGATCGATGATCTGCTTGCTTCTGCTGTCGACTTGTGAGACCCTGAGGGGCGACGTCGGCGACAAAGTTCTTGATGATAAAACCGGGCTCTTTTCCTGCTATCCATGTGTCAAGGTCGTTCACGGAGGTGATGGTCGAGTTATCCAACTCGCCCAACCGCACCAATCTTTCCTTCAGCGATGTACGCTTCCAGAAAAGGCTGGAATCTCCCTCTCCGAGAATGTATGGAAGGTTGCTGTGAGGAAGTAAGGGGCTCAATCCGACGGCTGTTTCCCGTGAGTTTGTTCAAGTAGAGAAAGTTCTCGACGGCGGAAACATGTGGTCGAATTTGAATGTCGACATCGCCTCTTACTATGCCCTTGTCCTTCATGACCTTGAGCTATGCAAGAAAAGAAAATAATATAATAAAGGATGAAGTTATTCTGACAGCCCTGTGAAGTCTTATTCTCACAGGGTCCTAAATATTTACATGGGTTTAGCATGAAGAAGGTGACATGATCGTTGTGCAAAAACAGTTTCTCTACTTTTTTTTCTCAAACTGCTCGCAATCACTTCAAGAATCTCTGAAGCCATCCTAACTATTGTTGCCATGGCCTACCACCTTCATACTCCTGCTTTCTTCGACCAAATTTAACTTCATCTAATGGTCCTATAATTGACAAAGACTTTGATGCCAATATTTCATTGAACCAGAACCCCAATCATGTCCATTCTTATACCAATCGATGCACCTCTTTATGAGGCACAATAAGTATCTAAAGTGAAAGGGCTACTTCATATTGCGTTTTTGGACTTTACATTGATGGATGTGATATTACCCTGTGAGAATAAGGCCACACAGCCCTGTGAGAATAGATTAATCCTAAAATAAATTAAATAATATTCACGATATTTTTTTTGTGCGATGAAAGCATAACAGCACACCTGAATTAGCCAAAGATACTTCAGCCCATACCTTATCGTGGAGATCACGGCTCCTATGCCCATACACTCGTCTCAGCTCGACAGCCAGCTGACCAGACACAGATCGGACCAAATACGTCGGTGTGAATGGTGCGGTTTCCTGAAGTTCCCTGCGCGCCCGAACTGGATCATGTATCCCGTCCTTCACCAACCAGACAACAAGCTGATTAGCAACGCCGCCTGCCTTGGAGTTCTCCTTCGGGTAATTTCCTGAATACAGATACGTCAGGAAAGAGATTAAGAAGCGGAACTCCTTGTCCTGCCTGTTCGCGACATCGGAGTCGTCGTTCTCCTTGATGCCGCCGGCATCCTCCTCATCCTTATCGACATCCGCAGGCTTGTCCACTCGCAAATCGACAACAGTATCCCCCGCTCCGCCTCCGTGATAGAGTCCTTCCTGCACTGAAGTCGATATAATTCGGTCATCGTTTGGGGTGGCGTCATTAATTCCAATATAATCCTTCGCTCCTCCTCCACTTTGTCCATGCGATCCCTCAGCATTTCCACGAAGTGGTCAATAAGACGCTGAGCCTCACGCTTCACGCCCGCAGCCAGCCGTGGGGCCGCCTGGAAACAATCGACTACCTCCTGACGCTCCTTGGTAAGAGCGTCAGTACCGGCAACTCCGTCCATCACTGCGCGTCTGACGTTCGCACGCACTGTGCCAATCTCCAAAGAATACGTTGGGTGGTGCCAGTTCATCGACCGCACGAGACCATTCTTGTCGAGATCTGCAAGTGATTTCTTCTGAAATCCAGATGAGACTCTGTCGCCCTTCGGTTTGGACTTTTTGATCAAAACACTGTTGGTCTGCGCCGGCTCCCGGTAGAACTTGAGCTTGAACTGCTTGGCCTTGGGAGGTGGGCCATGGACAATCTTGCGCGTTCTCTCTTTGAACGCAAAACCGACCTCGATTCCTCGGAATTCGCGTCCTGGCCAATGGAGGATGCCCGTCTGCATTCGGGTTAGAGGGCAAAGAGGAGCTCTGCTGTGAAGGTCCGGGAGCCAGAGTGGATTGTGGCGATGAAGTAGCAGTAGTGTTGGCCTTGGAGACAACCTTGGGTGACTCGACTGTTCTGTATCGGTTGTGAGTCTTTGGCGATGGCAACCGTACAACGTCGTCCTTGGTTCTATTTATTAAAAACCAACCAAATGAAATGGTGAGAAATGCACCTCGCAAATAATTCTCCACAAAGTACAAAGCCCTTCAATAATGAATGGTATAATTACCTCTCCTTGGCTCCTGCTGCTCGAATATTTTTCAGAGTCTCATGCTTGATGCAAAGCTCCTTGAACTTGTCCTGCAATACACGGAAGAGTTGCTGGGCTCGTGACTCTTGGGCCAAAGGCTCGACACGATCTTGTTGCAAAAGAATGAACACCCGGATAGAGTTCCCGAATGTCTCCTCTTTGGTGTTTTTCACCTTGACTTGACCGTGGGTGAGGTACGCAGCGACAATCTCTCGGGTGTCTATTAAAAAAGAAGAGGTAATCAAAATGAGAACTCGATTTGTAAAATAGCATTTGGCAGAGAATGCCCAAAAATCGCCGCCATTCCGATCTCCTTGATGATGCTGAAATTGGCTGCTGGTCCAAGCGAGTAGATATTCTTGTGATAGTCATTCCTCGAAACCACAGCCAGAGCCGTCAGCTGTGTCCGAGTGATCCCAAGGGTCGCGAGGACATCGGGAAGCTTGTAAACGAGGATAAGGTTATTAGAGACTGGGTGTCACAAGGTCTTGATCGATTGATACGCCATCATATCACTGTCCTTCGAGATGATGATGTCGTCAGGCTGAGCATCCTGGGCCATTGCAAGATCCGCCTCCGTCTCGCAAACGTCAACAGTCCAACCGCGGTGCCGCATGTAGCTGGCGAACTCCTGGCGACTCCTCAACGACCAGTGAAAGGACGACTTGAGTCCAGCCTTGACGTCAGTGAAGTGTCATTTCCTGACCCTCAAATTGTCATTCAGTCTTTCCTTGAAAACCTCGATGCTCTATTCTGTGTGGTCCAGGGTCTTGTGTCGGGCTTCGACTCGTGCCTCGGTTGTGTTCTCTTTCTCTACTGCCTGGCCGCCGTCGATGTAGATGCATGTTGAGTGGGCTGCCAGATCGTTTAATGTCGTTCTCCAAAAATTTGTGCGCTACATCCTGAGGCAAGTTATGGTTCGAGTAGGTCCGTTGAATGACGGGAAAGCAGTCGGCCATCACATCAAAGCGACGTGTGCCTGTTGTCAGGGAGGCTAGGACTGATTGGTATAGAACAGTAGGGTTGTAGCCCTTCTTGCGAATGAAAGGGTACCTGTCGAAGAGCCCCATGGCGTTGGGGCTTGTGCTTTTGGGGTCGAAAGAAACGAATGTTGATGAGGATAGTCGGTTTGCTGAAGTAGTAAGAGTAGGAAAATGGTGAGGAAGAAACAGCTTTGAGTGTCATTTCATATTGTCACTTATATGGAGAGCAGTCCAGAGCTAGAAAGCCTTGGTGTCAATTGACAGTTAATTTCGATCCATATTAGGAAAGATCCCAGTGATTCTTTCAGCCAATAAGAGAATTGTGGCGTTTTTAATCTCTGATGACGTTTCTTTTTAATATTTGATCTCTCATCCCTCTCGCCTTCCTTTTCATCCCTCTCGCCTTCCTTTTCATCCCTCTCGCCTTCCTTTTCATCCCTCTCGCCTTCCTTTTCATCCCTCTCGCCTTCCTTTTCATATCTCTCTCTTTCTCTCTCTCTCTCTCGCAGAAGACGTTTCATCTAACTGTTGGTAGGTAATTACCTCAATTGTGTCTGAATTTTAAACAAACCAATGACAGACTCTGGACGACGAGGCTCTCATCTCTCCTGGCCAGACACATGAGATAAGCTTTGAGAAAGGATATGCACATCTGCGAAGAGGATCGCGGGTGTGTGAAGCCAGTCCTCGCCATGCGGTATTCGCAGCCAATCTTCCCTTCGTGATAGGCAAGGAGTGGATGTTGGTGTTGGCCCAGGAATCAAATAGTGCTTCTTTTTGTGTAAAGACGGCGTTCCTTCTCTTTCCTCCTGTTATTGGCAATGATTCGATTGGACGGGGCCCTCATCTCTCTTGGTCAGTCACATGAGGACAACTTCGTGAATGGCTATCCACATTTTCGACCCGAGAATGTGTTAAGCGGGTCCACTAATTGAGTGCCATTCCTTTCCAATGACAAGGGGGAATGGCACTGATGATTACTGGGTTCCGATAGTGTTTCTTTCGGTCTAATTCAGCGTGCCTTCACTTGATCGATCATCAGACATCTTGTCTACTTTTTTGCTGCTCCAATTGACTTTGGAACTAATGCTGCGCCTTTTCCATTTTTCGCTGAGGATTTACTCTGTACTTAGGAGAGCCCAATCCTCGTTTTCATTGCGATGTTCGAAAATTACAAGGAGTTTTGTAACAAGACTCCGGCGAATGAGATATCGTTTCGGGCGTTCTTGACAGCTTTGGACGATAATCGAGAAAAGGAACAGTTGATTGGGTCCTGGACGGGAACTGTATTGCCGTACCTCGAAAGGCACAGTAGTGCCCAGAAACGTCGACAAGCGAGATATCTCAAGAAAACCACGAGAAAGGATCTAGAGGCCATTGTTGACGAAGTGTTCGAAGTAGTAAGTAATTATGTGGAGAGCTGTCGATTTGTATGTTGTCAACAAACCTTAACCTCGAACGCTTTTGTCTATTTTTTATTTATTTAAAACTGCACATAGCGGGACCATGTCAAGGCTCTGTTGCCAAATGTCTCTCAACAAGAACAAGCTGTGTCATCCCTCCACACCTCTGACATTAAAAACTATGTCGGTAAGATTGTTGGTTTTGTATTTAATGGCAATGATATTTTTGTAGAACCAAAACCAGCTTAGTTTGCTAAATGATTATTCGGATACAATATGTGTGCATAATAGCGGTGGTTCAGAATCAACAGCGCCAAGCATCAGGACCATCCACATCTCCTTTAACTATGCCTCATGGCCGAACACTTCAACCTACGTCATCGCCAGCACAGTCAACAACACCATCAGTAGAGTCGGAGCATTCCGTTGTTGAAGCAGCAGAGTCAGATCATGCTGCTGTTGAAGCAGAAGAGCCTGTACTCGACAATGCTGAGCGTGAGACTCTGTTAGGCATCGTTGAAAAGGCTTCTCATCGGGCTTGCGAGTGGATGGTGGACGGTACTTGTGTTGCATGTCGGTTTCAAGAATTCCAGCGAGCGTGTATTGAGTCATTGGTTAACAACGAAATCAGGAAGACGGAGGTTGCAGACGCCATGGCTATCATTGGGGTGTTTGCACCATCAATGTCAACAAGGAGGATGGAAGAAGCGTTCTCCAAGAAGCTTCTGCGTGCACTCGCAAAATCGACTGCCGAGCTCCCCGAGGTGGATTTTGACGACAGTGCTATGATGAAAGCTGTTCGGGTAAGCCAGACTAAATACATGTTTTGGCACTGCTTCATAAATGCGCATCCTAATGTCTCTTTATTTTCTTTACTTAATACTAGAATAGTACCCGCGGCTTCGCTCGCGGAGGTGTTGGGTGAAAAAAAAAAAAAAAGAAAGCGAAATGGATGTGGTAATATTTATTTCTGTCTGTCACTGTCTCCCTTGATCCCTACCCTCCTTTTTTTTTTTCTTATGTCATTTTTTTTTTAGTCACTCAGGGCAAGAATCTCTGGGTAAACAACATTTGTTGTACAGCCATATGGTGTATCGGGACCCTCCCTCTCAATCAACACATGCACGTTGTTCTTGTTCGTCACTCGAGATAGGGCAACGTACAGTTGGCCATGGGCGAATACCGGCTTCTTGAGATAGATACCAACGGTGTCTAAAGTCTGACCTTGGGACTTGTTGATCGTCATTGCAAAGGCGGGTCGGATAGGGAACTGGAGTCGTCGGAACTTGAACGGCATATCGAGGTCAGAAGGGCAGATCGGGATGCGGGAAAGGAATACGTGATTGCCGGCATGTGTTCCTGTAATGATAGTGGCTCCCAAGACGTACCGTGAGAGCGATGTACATATGAGTCGCGTGCCATTGCAAAGTCCTTCCTGTGGCATGAGGTTTCGAAGGAGTATGACAGGACAACCCACGGTCAATCTCAGGCAGTGAGGAGGGAGCGAAGACGACTTGAGGCTGTTCAGAAACTCGATAGGAAACAGAGCGTCCACCCTATCGTCTTCTTTGTCGATGATGGAGTCCTGCGAGAGAAACTCTCTTGATTCCCCTTGTATGGCTGACATGATGTGGTTGTTGACTTCATCGACGTTGTCGTTTGTTGGACAGAGCACTGCGCGCTGATTGAGATACTGGGCATTGCCAATATTGTGCTGGAGATCAGGGTAGACCTTGGCAATGAGATCGCCAATGTTGGCATTGGCTGGCATCACCATCTGGGGTGGAAGTGTGATGGTGGTGGAGATTCTGTGGTCTGGAGACGGGCCAGGAACAGTACCTTCTCCGACTTGAAGAAGCCAGTTTGCAAACCCGGTCTGTTCCTCGATGTCGGGAGCGTCGGCATTTCTGAGGAGGCGCATGTTGACGGAAAGATGAAGGTGTTGAATGTGGTCCCAGAGTGGAGATCGTTTAAAGCAGGCTCCAATGGTTTCCTCTCTGCGGCCTTGCTTAACGACTGGAGGAATCTGCCTGAAGTCGCCGCCAAAGACCATGAGCTTTCCTCCAAAGGGACGATGTTCGTTCGCAGGGTCCACAGTCTTCATCAGGTCTTTGAGAGTGCGATCTACAGCCTCAAAGATATGCCGATGCGTCATCGGAGCCTCGTCCCAGACAACGATCTTGGCCCGGATGAGAAGATTGGCAATTTCTGACCTGTGGTTGACTGAACAAACGCTATCCTCGTGGGTAGGGACGGGAATCTTAAAGCGCGAGTGAGCGGTTCTTCCGCCTTGTAGGAGTAATGTGGCGATTCCAGATCCAGCAACGGCAAGAGCGATATCGCGATTCGACCGGACCATAGACAGGATTAGGGAGTACAGGAAGGTCTTTCCTGTACCTGCAGGACCATCGATGAAGTACGCCTCGGAAGAGTTCATCTCATAGGAGTGCTTGATTCGGTCGTATGCTTCCCTCTGATTCGCGTTGAGTGACTGCTCCATCATGGCGAAATCTTCTGCGCTGGGCAAAGGGTAATTCAACTCGTCTGCAATAAATGCATTTACGTTGGGACCATGCTGCTCCAGTATGACGGGCTCGGGCATGCCTTCGTAGTCGTGGAGAGTCTTGCCGAGGTTCCTCAAGAGAACTTGTAAGTGGATCAAGGCAGCATTTGCACGCTGGTCTGCAAAGGATTGTCGCTGCTCAAGGCTGGTAGCGTCACGTTCCCTTGGACGGAGATCATCAGACAGTGCATCGCGAAAGGTGGTCCAAAGCTGAGCAGGATTTGTCGGGTTGCAAAAGGCAAGAATCTTTGCAAAAAGGGAGCGGAGTTGGTATCCCGTTTGGCTGACTGCGGCATCCCGAAGACAGTTCTCCCACTCGCGATCATCTTGAAGCATGCCAAGGGCGATGCAGGCGGCCTTGAACGTGGGGTGGACCTCGTTTTCGACTGTTCTTAGGCCCTCAAACGATATAGGACTTGGCACCGAGAGTAGTAGCAACCGCAAATAAAACAGATCGCCTGCGGTATCATGCACAAAAAAGAGTCGGCCGACTGTACATCCTCTCTCTCTGAGCTTCCATCGCTTTTCCCTCTTGAGGTAAACGTGGGTTTGAGGAAAGTCGTGGTACTTTGATGGCGGTTCGTCAGGATGGTCGCGGTTATAGTCGAAGAATGCAGTCAGCGTACTGCGCTCCAGTGCGGCTCTCTCTAGGACATCGGCGATGGGTTCGTCCGAGCGGAAGGCGTGCATGAACTGGCCGGGAAGATGCAAATGCAACCTGGTGACGGATGGATAGGCACTGTGTAGGCGGAAACCGAATATGCGCCAAGAAGACTCGGAGGCAGAGACATAGCGACCGTCGATGAAATCAATGATCTCGTTGACTTCTGGCACAGGTAGATCTCCGGCTCCGGCTTGAGCTCCGTCTTGTGCCGGCTGTTGAACCACAACAGTGGCTCGATCATGACCCTTGTAGACGTACTTGTAAAGATACTTGACCGCAGTGGAAGAGGTGCAGCTCTCGACATTGATATGGGCACCATACTTTGCAGCCAGATAAGGGTTGTGCGGAACGACCCAACGGTTGTCAATCTCGAAATCTCCCCGGCCATCGATCCTGACTGTCCTTCCATCCATGCGGCGCCGGTACTGCGGATATCCATTTGGTCCGTTTGTGGTGGTTGCGAGGAAGGGCTTGGGATAGCCTTTGGTACACACGCCGTTCTCCATGCATGGAGAGTTCCTGTTTGCCGGTCCACATGGGCCATGGATCATGGATTTCACAACAGTCTCATAGGCGGCCGGATGAGTTGCAGGGTCAGGAATCTCGGCAGAAATGTATTTGTCGTAGTCCTCAGGCAATCCAGGCTTGTGCTCGGGGCTCATGATGAGCAGAATGTGTGCATGGGGAGTCCACGCTTCTGGAACTCAATGACATGAATCATGCCGACGACCTTTCCGAGGACATGGTTTTTCAACAGATCATGCAGGAGTTCCTTCAGCTTGATGTGAAAGACGCGGGTCGTGCAGCGAGGATACTCTCGTCCGAAACGGTGTCAAAGATGGTTTCGAGGTAGTCGCAGTTGTTGGAGTGACGCTTCTGGGAATGGCAGATCCTTGCACTTGTCGTTTGCTTCCCTTTAAAGTATGGGCAGCGACGACTTGTTGACCTTTGGTGATCGTTTCCACGGCACCTGCTACACCTGCTAATAGGGGAAGAGGAGGAGGAAGAAGAAGCGATTGCATTGGGTGTGGTGATAGTGCTATTGATGGGAAGCGAGGAAGGAGAGGAGGGAGTGGTAACAGTAGATTTAGTGGCAGCCGTACGCCTGGTGGTGGTAAGGGAAGAGAACCTGACGGACTTGGTGGGCTGCGACCTTGTTGAGTTCGTCGCTCTAACCCGCTTGTATCCTGTAAAGGCTGTAGTTGAAGAGGTATCGATACTGGAGGTGGAGGTAAGAGGAGCACGGCGAGTGGAAGGCATGTTGAATGGTGACAGATGTGATGAAAATGAAATTTGGAGTTGTGGCTGATGAAAGACTGTAGTGAGGAATAAAGGAGCAAAAAAAAAAAAAAAAAAAAGCACAAAAGCGAGGAAAAGAGTAGCAGCAAGCAAGTTATTAGAGAAGAAAAGGTTGTTGCTGGAGGATTCTAGAGGTTCTAGAGGACTCCCACTTTGCTTATTTAGCATTTCTTGGTCAGCAGATCCTCCTAGGGGACACGCACTTCGCTTTCTGTGGGATACGCATACGCACTTTTGCTTAGTCAACATCAATCAACAACAATGGGAGGTGGAAATTTAGTGGCGTTCGTCAGGCACACACACAGCACACACGATAGACATAATACAATCATGTGATTTAGGAACGATTGATTGATTGTGACTGCGAACTATATCAGGTGATCACTACAGTCGCTTTGTATTATTAGACTAGCAAGTGGCCGCGGCTACGCCGCGGACGCTGCGCCGGTTTCTCGATTCCCAGGTTTGGTGTGTAAGGGCTAGAGGTGTTGCCGACCTGGGGTCTTTTCTCATTCATTTTGGATGTGTCTTGACTTCAAAGGGGGGAAAATAATATTAGGAATAAAAAAGTGAGCCAGCAAAAAGGATGAGAGGACTGATCTAAAGAACGGGCGAGCATTGTTCACTCTTTTAACATTTTGATCGATTCTATGGTGTAGGGTATGATTACGGAACTCTCTTATAGACATCACTTCTAGTGTATGTGCCCTCAAGCTCGGGGATGCTGCCATGGATCATATGAACTTTGACATTTTTGATGTCTGCGCATCAAGAAAGAGAAATATAAAGCTTACTGTGTGTGAACACAGCAGTAGGGAGATAGAGTCCGACATTTTCAAGGGTCTGACCCTGCGCCTTGTTGATCGTCATGGCAAAGGCAGGCCTGACCGGGAACTGTCGTCTCTTGAATGTGATCGGGGTGGACTTGTCGTCTGTTGTTAAAATCGGCACTCGTGGGATGAAGACCAAGTCGGTGGCAAAAGGTCCCGTCAGGATTGTTGCCATGATGCAGCGTGGCCTGAGCCGGCGGACAATCAAGCGAGTTTTGTTGCAGAGTCCTTTTTTTTGGTCCACATTTCGGAGGAGAATGATGGACATGCCAACTTTCAGCACCAGATAGTAGGGAGGTAATCCAGTGGGGTCCAAAGAGTTGAGATACTCTGTAGGATAGTTGGCGACGCCGTTGGTGTCTGAATCCGGAACGGAGTCTTGGCCAAGGTACTCTGTTGCCTTGCCAGGAAGTAGTGTGGTCGGGAGGTTGTTCATGTAATTGACATCCTTGTTCAGTGTTGTCAAAATAGCGGTGCGCTTGATGTCGTGAGGTGCAAAGTTGCCGATGGAGATATTGGGGTAGATGGTGCGGATAAGTTGGATCTCGTGCTCGTTGTTGAGATTGGGT